GTTCCAGGGTTTTAAAGGAGCATCCACTGCTTTGTTACTGGGAGGGATAGATAACCTTTAAGTCACATTAAACTGGGAGCAGGAAGAAAGCTGAGGCAAAAGACCAGAGACAGGAGGGAGGACTGGCCAGCACAGACGGCTTGTCACCATCCTACTACCTCCTCCCCTGGGAGGGGACATCTCTGTCATGCCAGGGTCTGGACTGTTCTTCCCAATCTCTCAGCTCTACTCGAGGGCTTGTAGCTGTGCTGCAGACGGTGCCTCCTGGCCTCGGAGCAGCTGGAGAGGAATTGAATTCAGAGGCTGACATGCACTCAAAGTCCTTGGACACCATTATTTATTGCCGGGGCTCCCACAGTCCCTGCCACTATAAATATATACGTAGCTTGCTCTACTAGAGAGCCCAGATGGCCCCGGGGGAGGAGAACTCCACACACGTGCAGTCACCACCGCCATCCCCCACAGGTTAGCCACAGCCCAGGGGTTTGCCAGAAACATCTGCCCCACGTTTCCTGGGTAACACATTGAGCGGCAGAGGGCCCAGGAAGGGAGGGGACAGCTGGGAGCCAAGGGCCTCCAGGGTGGTCTCGAACAGGAAGGGTGGCAGGCACTGTGCCTACAGGTGCGGGGACGGGGTTCCCCAAATCAAGTGGCAAGTCACAGGCCTGTGACTTTGGAGCACCAAGGAGTGGGGCCTGCTCAGGGCCAACTGAGATGTCCCCTCCTGCCTGTCACCTTCCAATGGGGGTGTCCTAGCAGAGACCTAGCTGAGGGTTTTTGCTTCCTTAGAGAAGTCCCTTGTTGGCTACATCACAGAACAGGTGGGACAGGAAACCAACTTAGAATGACATGAATTTGGCATTCTTTAGAAAAAAAGGAGTGAGGACGGGTGCAGTGGCTCATGCCTGTAATCCTAGCACTCTGGGAGGCTGAGGTGGGAGGATCGCTTGAGGTCAGGAGTTCAAGACCAGCCTGAGCAAGAGTGAGACCCCGTCTCTACTAAAAATAGAAGAAAAAAAAATTAGCTAGTCAACTAAAAATAGACACAAAAAATTATCTGGGCGTGGTGGCTCACACCTGTAATCCTAGCACTCTAGGAGGCTGAGGTGGGTAGAACATTTGAGCTCAGGAATTTGAGACCAGCCTGAGCAAGAGTGAGACCCCGTCAAGAAAGAAAGAAAGAAAGAAAGAAAGAAAGAAAGAAAGAAAGAAAGAAAGAAAGAAAGAAAGACAGAAAGAAGACAAGAAAGAAGAGAAAGAAGAGAAAGAGGGAGGGACGGGAGGGAGGGAAGGGGGGGGGCGCGGAGGGGAGGCGGCAGGGGGAAGGGGAGGGAAGGAGGGGCAGGGGAGGGAAGGGAAGGGAAGGGAAGGGAAGGGACAGGGAAGGGAAGGGAAGGGAAGGGAAGGGAAGGGAAGGAAATTAGCTGGAAAAAGAAAACTAAAAATACATATGTAAAATTAGCCAGGCATGGTGGTGCACACCTGTAGACCCAGCTACTCGGGAGGCTGAGGCAGGAGGATCACTTGAGCCCAGGAGTTTGAGGTTGCTGTGAGGTAGGCTGACGCCACAGCACTCTAGCCTGGGTGACAGAGTGAGAATATGTCTCAAAAAAAGTAAAGAAAAAGGGAGTGAGTTCCTGATAGTCCAAGGAATAAGGAATGAGCCCACTGGGATGTGGGTAACTCTAGTGTCCCTAGAGGGCCAGGTCTCAGTGACACTGGGAGACCCAGCAATAGTGCTGCTCTTTGACTGTAGCGAGAGAGGCCCCTGCCCCAGGGTTCAAGCCCTACAGAGCTCCACTCTGGCTCATCTGGGCTATGTTCCTCCCCACAGGGTAGGGCCAAGGGAGCATGACCAGGCAGATTATCACACCTCCCCTTCTAGAAGGTACTGTGCCCCTAGACCTGAGGGTGGCCAAGGGGCCGCTGTCTGCAAAAGGATGATGGGGCAGGGTTGGCCACGTGTGTGCTCAGGCTCCCTCAGTGGGAGGTGGGCCTGGAGGCGGGCAGGCAAGGGGAGGGCAAAGGGGAGGCCGCCCGCCTCTGCCCAGGTCCCCACCCAGGGATTTCTGCTTAGACTGGCCGCCTTGTCATCCAGGGAAGCCAGGAAGGTAACATGCCACCCCTCCTTGCAGAAGAGCTCTGTAACTGGCAAGACCACGATGGAGGATCAGGGGCGCACAGCTGGCCCCCTCTCTCTGCTGCACTTTCCTACTGAATGCAGCAGAGGGGAGAGGGCAGCCCCCCAGGGGGCCCCCACCACGGCACAGACCCCCTCGGCACCCAGGATCACTGCAGGAGCTGCGGACGACGTCCAGCACCCACACTTTGAACTTGGCCAGCCAGATGCAATTATGCAACTATCTACTCACATTTTCCTCAGTTGGCCCCTGAGGTCAAGGCCAGCTAGTCTGGACTTCCCGGCTACTCACTTGGAGGTCCCCGTTGGCACTGGGGACTGCTGGACACGGAATGTGCCGTGAGTCGGAAGCTCGTAGGAGGCAAATATGGGATTGCCCACTTCCGCTCTTACCTGCTGCTGCTGCTGGATGACACATCACCCCCAAAGTTCGTGGTTTAAGATGACAACGGTTTGTTATGATTCCAAGTCGGTGGATGCGGAATGTTTCTGCTGATCTGGGCTGGCCTCGCTGACCCCCCTGGACCTCCCCCCACATCTGGAGCTGCCAGCTCAGCGGGGCCCTCGCTGGTCCCAGTGGTCTCAGCTGGGACGGCTCCTTTCTGCCTCGCATGTCTTCTCCTCCAGGAGGCCAGCCCAGGCTTGTTCGCTTGATTTTACCATATTCTATGGGCCAAGTCGCAAGACTAGTGTGGATTCAAGAAGTGGAGACATAAACGCCACCTCTTGATGGGAAGAGCAGCAAAGTCACATTGTGAAAAAGTATAAAACAGAGGGGAATAACTAGGACCAGTTTTGCTAACAGCCTTCCACAGGAAGTGTGGCCATTTGCCCTCTAGGACAGATTCGGCAGGGAAGTTGCCCCAGAAAAACTCCCATGCAAGTATTTTTTTGCAAAGTCATAGCCATCTGAATGTTATGTGGTGAGAATATTCAGGTATCCTTAGGTGTCCGAGCACGGTAGCTGCAGTGGTTGGGATCCCACCAGGAAAATAAAGCCCCATCCAAGTAGTTCAATAGTGAATTAATACAAAAAACTACAGTTGACCCTTGAACACCAAGGTGTTAAAGGCACCAATCCCTGATGCAGTCAAAAAGCTGTGCGTAACTTTGGACTCTCCAAAACTTTACTTATAGCATACTGGTGGCTAGAGGCCTCGCCGATATTATAAATAGTCGATTAACACGTATTTTGTGTGCTATATATATTATACACTGTGTCCTTACAATAAAGTAAGCTAGAGAAAAGACAATGTTACTAAGAAAATGATACAGAAGGGAATATATGTTTACTATTCATTAAGTGGAAGTGGATCATCATAAAGGTCTTCATCCTCATCATCTTCACACTGAGTAGGAGGAGGAGGAGGAGGAGGGGTTGGTCTTGCTGTCTCTGGGGTGGCAGAGGCAGAGGAGGTGGAAGGGGAGGCAGAAAAAGCAGGCACATTTGGTGGAAACTTATGGAAATACGTCATCATTTCTGTCTGATATTTTTCCTTTTTCTCATGTCTCTAAAACTGTCTCTATCCAGTACCAATCCTTCTTCCACCACTTGCTTTAGTTTCAGTGCCCGTGTCATAGAAGGGTCCATGTGGTAAAAAGAAGTTAAAAGCCTGCAGTCTTGGATAATCTTCGCCCAGACTGTGTAATGTCAATTTGTTTTCTGGCACCGTTTCCTCTGTGTCTTCTTCCTCATTGTCTGCGCTGGTTCAGAAGCACTCATCTCCGTCAAATTGTCTCTTGTTGATTCCTTTGGTGTGGTGTCTATTAGCTCTTGAATTTCTCCAAGATCCGTATCTTGAAACCCTTCACTCCCCCCTCCCCTTTTTTGCCATCTTTGAAAGATTTCCTCGATTGGCTCTGTCGTAAATCCTGTGAAGTCATGCGCGACATCTGGACACAGTTTTCTCCAGCAGGAGTTTATTGTTTCAGGCTTGATGGGTTTTGCAGATTTTCTGTAACAATAATGGCATCTTCAATGGTGTAATCCTCCCAGACTTTTGTGATGTTCTGTCTACCAGGGTTCCCTTCCACAGCACTAACGAGCTTTTCCATCGAGGACTGTGTGTGATAAACCTCAAAAGTCCTTAGGACTCCCTGATCTAGAGGCTGAATTGGAGATACCGTGTTTGGGGACAAGTAGACCCCTTCGACACCTTCTATGTTGAACTCATGGGGTCTGGGTCGCCAGGGGCATTGTCCAACATAAAAAAAAAATCCCTAAAAGGCATTCCCTTAAGGACATCTTTGAGTCTTTTTTGATCCATTCAGCAATAGAGGGGATGGGCATCAAGGGAGAAGGCTCTGGGTGTCACCTGTCCCCAACAGGAGGGGACAGTGGGGGAGTGACCTTAGGTGAGGAAATGACCTGTGGTCTGAGGAACCAGCATGGCTGGATTCCCAACTCTTGACCTTTCCTGCTCATCAGTTCTCGAGTGGCCCTGCCAGCCAGAGCTGGGGATCAAACCCCTCGTAGCAGGCGTGAATGGCCACCGTTGCGGGGAAGTAACAGTAGCAGCAGCTGCTGTTGATTAACCATCTACTTCATGCTTTAGTAGATTATTTCATTTAACCCTTTTAACAACTCTCTGAGATAAGCACTAAGGGTGTTCCTATAAAACACAGAAAAAAATTATTATAGCAAAAAAAGTGCCCCAGGTGTCCACATGTAACTGAACAAAAAGTCTCTGAAACTGAAAATGAGAACATCTCAGAAGGTCTGAATATGTAGTGTGGCTGCTTGAGGCCAAATGAGACCTGCTGGTTGACATAATTTTCCATAAGTGGATAGAAAAAAATAACTTTCTCTGTATGTTCTAGGTAATAAATCATTCAGCACCACTATATATGTTTTCATTCGATATTTATTGTGATTTACCATTGTAAAAGTTTCACATGGCACCATACTTTAGAGGAAGAAATTGAAGATCAGAGGGGTGGAGTAACCTGCGCAGGGTCACACAGCTTGTCAATGAGAGATACCATGTTGCTCGGTGATGGCTTGAGTAATACATCAAATACAAACTGGGGGAGGCACCAGTGTGGGTGTCACCCCTACGCTCATGACATCACAGTGAGTACCTTTTGTGCTAATGGAACGGGGTGAGCACACACCTCTGGGGGTAGACAGCCAAATGTCAGGAGCCCCTCTGGCTCTCCCTGGCTTTTCCCTTTAAGCTAGTCAAAATCCCCTATTATGAAGGGATTGTGGAGCTCCCCAGTCCAGCTTCATGTCATAAGTAGTCCCAGAGGGGTTGGGTCACTTGCCCAGGGGCACACAGGTGGTTAGAGGGGAACCGCACACCACCACTGCAGGCAGCTGCAAATCTGTTTCATGGCCTGCTTCCTCTCTCCTCTAGAATGCCCCCTCGCTGCCGCAGAGTTTCGACAGTTCAAACCTGGAGGGCAGGTTGGGTTGGGTTTAGTTTTTCACAAGCTCCTTCACAGATCACAGGCAAGATCTTGCTCTTCAACTGAAAGTAGAAATGTATTAAGTTTAGTTTAAGACATTGCCCTTTCCCTCTTCCCCATGCCCCAAATACATTAGGACCTTCTTGTCCCAACAAAAAAATAACCATCATCATCATCATTCTATGGAGCAGAAAAGAATGTGTGGGTTTCCTGTTCCTGGCTGGACATTTCCCGGAAGAAGGCAATTAAGTCTTCATTGATCAATAGGAAAAGGGCAGCTTTCAGCCTTATAACTTCCTGGTACAAGCAAAGTCAAAGGTAGGGAGAGCTCACCTTGACTCAGGTCTGCAGCCACAGACCCATGCCTCCCGTCCAACTCTTCCATCAGGGAGCCAAGGGGTCCACATCCTCTGGGCTCCTGTAAGCTGCATTTGGAGGAGATGTAAGACCCTACCAGAATTCATGTTCGGGTTTGGGGAGAGGTCAGCTATGCTGATACCTGGTGTCCTTGCTCATGGCTGGGAGCAGGGGGCTGTCTCTACCCCACTCAGATACAGGTGGACATTCCAGCTGAAAGCTGAGCTACTTCTGAATGCAAGGATGATATGTCTGTTAGCTTTTGCTGCATAACAAACCACTCCAAAATTTAATGGTTTAAAACAACAACCACTTATTTGGCTTACAATTCCTCACTTTAGTAATTTGGGTTGGGCTCAGCTGTGTGGTTCTTCGGGTCCCAGCTACACTCACTCATACGTCCTCGGGCAGCAGGGTTTAGCTGATTTAGCTGGCTGAGCCCAGAGGGTGTGCCTCTGCTCCATGTGCTCCGTCATTCTCAGGAAGACAGCTGGAGCATTATGCCTGGTAACTGGCAGGATCCCAAGACAAGAACAGACGTACTCAGGGCCTCTTGAGGCCCAGTCTTGGAACTGTCATGAAGTCATTCCCACCATATTCCTGTGGCTAAGTCAAAAGGCCATCCCTGATTCAAGGACTGGAAAGCAGTGCCAGAAGCTACAAAGTCACATTGCAAAGGGACACAGATGCAGGGAAGAGAGAAGGATTGTCACCATGTTTGTAAATGATCTTCCCCAATATCCTTTATACATTTTTCCGGGAACAAAGTAGGGACTTCAGGGGAAAAAAAATGTTGAGTAAAATAATCACCCAAGTAAGGATTTGTGGCACTAGCCTGTTGCACACCTACTAAGTGCAAACCTTAAGCCTAAGCAGTGGGCAAACCTGTATGCAGTCGCAAGCGGGAAGCTGCCAGCACTGGCTCATGAGAGCCAACTGTTAAATACTCAGTTGTTAAACCATCTTAGCTTGAAATTGACCATGGTGGGAGTATTTACACCATGAGAAGGGGCTAGTGTTACCAATCAGGGCGTTTTTTTCTCCCAGAGAGCAGGTTTACCAGCACACCACTGCTGTTAAGCCAAAACAAACGCTGTCCCTTCCAATCCAATGAGTAAGATACACAATGAAGAATTATAATGTACCAACCAGGCAGGATGATTTCAACACAAGAAGGAAACTGAGAGACAGGAGATTTAGAAGAAAAAGGAACTCATAGTTCCCAAGGGGGTGGACATAGGTAAGGCATCACAGAGGAGGTGGTCTTTTAGCTGGAACAGCACAGGCACGGGCAGAGGTGCCCTCAGAGAGAGGGCGGCCAGCCATAGCATTTTATTTAGTGTCAGTTTGGCTTCAAGTGACAGAAAACCCCATACAATAAAGACTTAAGCAAGCCGGTTTCATTCTCTCCCATAAGCGATCTTGGGAAATGACTGGTCGTCCGCAGGCATGGTGGCTCTACCCCACGGCTCCCCTTCCTCTAGAGCCTCAGAGAACAGGTGCATGGTCTTCTCCCTGTGTGTCTCTCCCCTTCTTGGGTGCGGTGGGTCATCCAACAGCCTTGGATTTGATGCCCAGCTTCCCCACTCAGCGGTTGAATGAGCTTGGACAAGTCGCTTAATCTTTCTGAATCCTGGTCTCCAACTCGATTATGTGGAGCAAAGTAACTCACAGGGTTACAGTGACCTGGTGACAGTGCCTGTGCAGATCTTAGTGGACCCAGGGTGGGCACCAGGGGCAGTGTGGGGTGTGTGTGTGTGTGTGTGTGTGTGTGTGATGAGCCCCAGGCAAAGCCCCTCTTGGCCCCTCTCCGTCCACTCTAAGAAGCAAGGCCTCCCTCTTTCTGGGTTTCAGTGGACAGGATGGCTCTGGGGGAGGGAGCCCAGGTGACCTGATTCGTGTGGAGTTTGGTTCTATGTGGGCGGCAAGGCTGAACCTTGACCACTTCAGACCAGTTCTGCAGAGGCAGCCACTTCAAACAAAGGGTTGGTGGGGATGGCCACCCTGGCCCCTGGTCCCCAGCCCCCACCCCATCCCCTTTCGTCCCCAACCCATGCCCCACAGGAGGGGAACGTGCAGCCACACCTGCCTGGAGAGGACTTCTTTGGGAAATGATGCCTACCCCTCCAAGATCAGGGGATTGGGCTGTCAGGTCCTGGCTAGGAGGGGGTGAGGGCGGGATGTCCGTTAGGTCAGTGATCCAAGCAAATATTTGGCAGATCAATGCTCAAGGTTAACCTTGAGTGCTCATCACTGGTCACTAGGGGGTGGCTTCCTGCCACTCGCCCTGACATCTCCCCTCTCTGGAACCTTCAGGGACGGGGTCTTCTCTCGCTGGGCTCTGGGGCCCACCCATCCTCCAAGCCCCCTGATCTAGAGCTCCCTGCCTTGCCCACTCACCCTCAGGTGGTCCTGGGACACACCACGTTCTCACCAGAAGATGCCACGCCCGTCCGGGGAGCCTCCTGCCCTGTGCCATGCGCGCTCTCTCCTAGTGAAGGGCCAGCCGCTCACTCTCTCCCCCGAACCGCCCTGGGCACACATCCCTGGCCCCTGCCCAGCTGACAAGTTCGTCCCTCTCCCGAGCCCCTGAGGGAGAGAGCCTGGGGGGAAGTGGGGAGCTGCACCCGCACCCCCACTGCGGCTGGAGAGGGGCCTTGCACCTTCTCAGAGAGCTGCCAAGCGCTGCCCGCGGCCAGGAGGGAAGCGGCGCCTCTCAGAGCGCTTTGTTCCACTTGCTGGAGGGCTAAAAATACACTGGCACTGCCAAAGGCAGTCCTCGAGACCCAGGGGAGCTGGCAGTGGGGAGCAGCTATCCTGGCACCTGGTGCTATTAAAGGAGCAGCACAGGATTAGCCAGCCTTGGGGCCCTCCTGCACCCACATTCTGCTCGCGCTGGGCTTCCCTGAGCCTCCGCTGCGGCCCTGCCCACCCCTCTCGCCCCAGGCGGAACCGCCTCCGTCCCTGGTGGGAGCCTGGAGCTGACTACACGACTGCGCTTTTACAGATGTCGCACCAGCGGCGCCTCCAAGTCCTCCAGCAAAGCTGCAATTAGCAGTAGGGCTGAAAATGGAAATCCCCTTAGTGGGCCATAACCCAGTGGCTTAGATTCAAGAAACGTGTATGGACGCCCTGCTTCAGTCAGTTGTAATCTTTCCAGGACCTCAAGCCTCTTTGGGAGTCTGATGAAGGATAGACACCCAGAAGAAAACAAAAAGACCCTAAATAGCATTCGCCAAGCAATTTTAGGGAATTTACGAATATCATCAACCCCGTCCACACTCTCACACACACATTCCAAGCCAGGAACCCTTGATTTGCTGGAAGCCAGGCACTGAGCTAGACCTGGAGATGGAAAGTTGAGTAAGGGAGGGGACTGCCGGGTACACAAATGCCACCTGATGCTACGTGTGTTGAAAGACAGGTGAGAACAAGGCCACAGGGCTGGGAGGGGAGATGGGCCTGGGTGTAACTAGAACAGGAAGGGAGGGCAAATCTGAATGGGGCTTTGAAGGATGAACACGATCTTACCAGGGAGAAAATGTAGGGTTAGAGAATTTGTGTACATAGAAATTGCACTCCTAGCAGGGCATGATAAAGAAGACTTGTCTGGAAGCAGGGCCAGCCCGAGGGCTCGTAGAGGGTATGAAGAGTGGAGTGTATTCATTTTCCATTGCTGTGTAACAGCCTACCGCAAATGAGAGGCTTAAAGCAACACACATGGGCCATCCAGCTAAGGGGGTCCTCAGCTCAGAGCCTTGCCAGGCTGTGCAGGGTGTGGGCCAGGACTGTGACCCACGTGGGGCTTGATAGGGAGGAATCTGTGCCCATGTCCTTTCAGGTTGTTGCCGGGACCTTGGGACTCTGGGACTGGGAGCCTCAGCTGCCTACTGGCTGGAGGCCCCCAGCGATCCCTGCCACTTGTTTGAGACCAGGAATTTAAGATCAGCCTGAGTAACAGGCTATAGTAACTCCCTGTCTCTACAAGAAATTTAAAACACACACACACACATTTAAAAAACCTAGTCGGGCATGGCGGTACACTTCTAGTCCCTAGCTACTTGGGAGGCTAAGGCAGAAGGATGGATTGAGCCCAGGAGCTTGAGGTTGCAGTGAGCTATGATCACGCCACTGTACTCCAGCCTGGGTAGCAGAGTGAGACCCTGTCTCTTAAACAAACAAACAAACATACCCAGAGCTTACAAGGTATTAATAAGTAGGTGAGAAAGGAATGGATTATGTAGTCAGTGCTAATAGAGGACAAAGTCAAAGGTTCAACAAGAGAGAAGAGAACCAAGGACACCTTCTAAGACAGGAGTCCATCTGAGAGGCAGCAGAAGATGTGCAGGTCCCTAAGAAAGTCCCAAGAAGGCAGGCAGGCCCTGCTCAAAGCTAAGGAGAGGCCAAGTGCTCAAGATGAGACTTGGAAGGATTTGGTGAGAAGGGTGACTGGTGACCACAGTGACAGCCGCCTCAGGGGAGTGGAGGTCCCCAGGTCAGTGAGAGGCTGCAAGAGGGTGTCGGTCGGTGGTGCCTTCAGGAAGGAGCACCGGGTGATGCCAAGAACAAAGTTGATGGGGAGGAGGGGAGGAGGGAAAGAAGAGGATGGATCCAAGAGTGTGTGGTGGAAATTCTGGGATAGACAGAATCTATCTGGATAGATATGCCGAATCCAGGCACAGATTCGGCAAGCCCACCCTGCTTATTCCCTTCCCTGCTGGGCCCCAACCCTCCAGTTGGTGGGACAGAAGAGAAGCAGACGAGGAGACATGGGCACATGTTCAAGGGACTTCGAGGTCCCTTGAACCTGCCCTAGCCTTGGGCTCATCCTAGCTGCCGAGAGAGGCAAGAAAGGAAATACTCAGCAGGAACTACGGGGAGCTCCGAGGGCTCCTTGTTGCAGATGGAAGATCTGGTATGGCCTGTTCTCCAGGAACCCATTACAGCAGGCAACAGATGGCATTTCCCAAAATGGCCGCCATCATGTCTCCCATCTCACTTGAGCTCGCACAGTGTGACCTTGCACACCCTCATGCAGAGGCAGAGTCAACGTCCCTTCACCTTGAGCCTTGGCGGGCCTCTGGGACCACTTCGGCTGCTAGCGCCCACCATAAAGGATGTTGGGTGACCTCGTCCTCACGGTCGGACCTCACGGTTGGGCAAGGCCGTGCCACTTCCACAGGTTTCTCTCTCTTGAGGGATATGCCTTTGAAGCCCTGAGCCCCCATGTAATCAATCTGGTTATCCTAAAGCACCCACACAGAGAGCCTCCCACGGAGGGAAACTGAGGCCCCCAGCCCAGCACCAGCCTCAGCTGAGCTCCAGCTAACACATCCCGGCCACAGCTCCCCTCGTGACTCGAGCAGAATCTGCCGTGTTCTCCAGGGGTGTCACGAGGCCCTGCCCCTTCTCCCTGCCGAGTATGCCCTGGGAAGGCAGCTTTATGTCCCCAAACACACCCGCCCAGGGCCCAGGGCAGGACAAGCAAGCAGGTCCTAGGCAGGGCGTCCACCCCCAGCAGGCCCCAAAGGTGTCTCTGGCACAGGTCACCTGCCTGGCTCCCAGCTCCCCACCCACCCTGCTCCAGGAAACATGGAAAATCCAGAAACCCTCCCAGGCCCAGCTGCACTCCAGGAAGAAACTGGGCACGCTGCCCAGAAGTACACAGAATGGACTTTGGGCTGATTGCCCAAGCTGGGCTAACGCCCCCACCTTCTTAGAAAGGGCACACTTTCCGGAACAAAGGCTACAGCCTGTCACAAAAGCCAGATGTTGGCAGAGCAGGACATAGGAGGTGGGAAGGACTCCCCCAGTGGGGGAGGTATGGGGGCGGGGAGGAGACATACAAACACACACACATCCCCTCCATTGCCTTGTGCAGTGAGGTCAGCCCAGTCATTCTTTCCTCCTGGTGTGCAAAGTCAGATTGTTCTTCCCACAGTTAAGAACACAGGCTTTGAAGCCAGACTGCCTGCGTTTGTAAGCCCATTCTGTGACTTCCTGGCTGTGTGATCTCAGACACGTTACTTAACCTCTCTGAGCCTGAGTAGCTGCATTATTAAGACAGAGATAACAGTGACCTCTTCATGGGATCATTAGAGTCAGCTGAGATAAGGTATGGGCAGCTCTTAGCACAGAAACCAGCACACTGTAGCTATGCATGACATGACTCTGTTGTGTTATTATTTTATTTTTAATCATAAATATAATAACAAATACCTTGCCATGGCTCATGAGCTGATACATGGAGCCCCATACAAATTTTTGCAAATAAATTCCAGTTTGGAGGCAAAAGGGCAGGAAAACTAATGAGAAATTTCTAGTCATTTATATCATATCCCTCCCCCATCACTCCATATTGGAAAATAAAAGGTCCTTTTAAAAACACAAATTTTAATGGTGTTTTAGCCCATCTGACTGCTCTGTTCTTGGTGTCGGCTGTTTTCCAGCTGCGGTGTTTTTCGCATTGATCAGAGAGAAACCCCCAAGGTCTGGCAAAGGAAGCTTTTAATTGCTCTGGATGAACCGATTTTTGGCTTAGCTACTCAAGCGTATAATTGAATGAGAGAGAAAGAGAGAGAGCATATCACTTTGAGATTGCTTTGAGATAAATACACAGTCAGACATCCCCCTTCCTGCCCGGACCTCAAAGATTCTCCTTGCCCTGACTGCCGCAAGCTCTGAGGACACAGAGCACGGAGCAGTCGCTTCATCTTCCTGATCTTTCTCGAAATAATAATGAGCGTTCGTAACGATCGCTACCCTTTATCGTGTGTGCCGGTCGTCGTAGGTTGGAGTTCCCCAGAAGCAGACTCTGAGGCAAGGATTCGAGTCAATCTGCTTTATTTGGAGAGGATCCTGGAAGCCCCAGGAGGGGAGGCAGGATGGAGAGCAGCTAGCAAAGGGTGTGGTCGTGAGCAAGTGACAACGGGGGCAGCTGGGGCTTAATCCCCCCTGGGGAACTCGAGGACGCGAACACTGCAGCAGCATCTCACCTCAGGGACAAGGGAGCCGGGGAATTTATACCCCACGTCCCATCAGCCACCGGCGGAGGGCTATTCCTGGGGCGTATTAATTCCCTGGCACTTCCAGCCATCCCCAATGCGGGCAGCTGAAGGAATCCCTGGGGCAAAGAGTCCCCAAGGCTAGCACGCAGGAGTCAGGCCTTCGGGAAAGGCACCAGCCCCATCTGCTACAGCGCCCAAGTTTAAAACGACTCAAAAATATGACGATTGCCCATTTCCCCACTCAAAAGATCCAAAGGATTTGTGATCTAATTGAATAGATAGAGCATCTTTTATAAAGTAGACGAAATAGTTAAATATCTATTTGTGACCCTTAGTTTATTGACTCACCAAATACATACTTATAATCACATGTTATATGTTCATGATATATTCATTTAGAAAAGTTGCTTTCTTTGCCCTCATCTCATGACTCAATTTTATTCCAACTCTTCCAACTCATCTTTGCTCTAGGGGTCTTCATCATCATCAGAACCACCTTTTTAGTCATCTTAGTTTCCCAAGCACATCTTCTTTCCTCCCCTCTGAGTTCTTGGCGATGCAGCACTTTTGGAATCTGTAGGATGCTTTTGCTGGAATTTTTATCCCAAGCCTTGAGCACCTATTTGCATAACATTAGGGCAGCTGGCG